GTGTTATTGACATTGCTGGCAATTTGAAGGCTCTGCGGCGTCAGGAAAGCATTCTCCCCCATTGAACAAACAACCTGCCAGACACTTGCAGGCTCTGTCCCTCCCCTCCATCTCCCCAGCAGCACCCTGGCAGGTTCTGGCACACTCTTTCCGTTTGATCTCAAAGCCCAAGGAAACTCAGCACTGAGGGAGGGAGGCAGCCATCCCCAGGAGGTAGCAGACCTCCACTCACCACAGCCAGAGGGATGCCATGCAGCAGGGACTGATATGCTCTACTCTGGGTTCACGGCATGGACCTAGCAGCAAGCCTAGAGGTGAGCAATGAGAACAGGCTGCTGGGGGGCAGGAGCCCCATTGGTGACCCCACACTGCTGCTGGTTTCCATGCCCCATCTCTGCAGGGCATGTGCTGGCTCATGTCTGTGTTTGTCCAGAGCTGGGCACGGCAGAGCCCTGCTCCCACATCTGCAGCTCAGCTATGGGACCATCACAGCTGTGTCTGCAGGCAGCACTGCCCAGCAGCACAAGAGCTGGTGTTCCCCAGGGGTACACAGGGCACTGCACTCAGAGAGCCTCATCCTCTGCATGAGGACAGTGATGCAGCAGATGAAGTGGTTTTACCACAAGGACACAGCAGTCTTTCAAAAGGTAGCAAATGCTTTCTCTGAGCTACTCAGTTACACGTTCCAAACTCCCAAACTACACAAATCTCCTGAGAAAATGCAAGTCAGTCAGAGAGAAATCTTGGAGCCACTTCAAACGTTTTGCCAATAATTCATGCAATGAGATTAAAAAAGCCATTTCTTCCTTTGCCAAGTACACAGAGACCAGAGTGTTCTCTATTGTGTAGGAACATCACAGCATGTAGCACTTGACAAGGAAAGGTCACTGGGGAGGGGCCACAGCTCCTTTTTTAAGAGGCTGCTACTGGTGTCCTTTGGAAAAACTGATTTTACACTGTAGCAAAAGCCACAATTGCATGCCCGGCTAACTGGGCTGAAATACCTGCCCGGGGCTTCTTTCAAAGAGGCGCTGCTGGAGGGTTCTGTGCTCTCTATCCGATCTGGGACCAATCCCCCGGTGCTGTCAATTGGCAGACACCCACTGCATTGTCCTGTCTGAGCATTTCAGTGCTGCAGCATGGGCAATGGACCAGGAGCAGAATGAGCTGAGCAGCACCCTGTGTTCAGGGGAGTCTCAAGGTCCCAGTCTTCCAGGGAAACACAGCACAGAAATGACCCCTTATGTGATGGAGGGCAGGGAGAAATAGAAATGGGGAACCACAATCAAATGGCCTTAAATCCAGCGATGCTTCCCAAAACTGCTGCTTCACACACACTGACGGTGACTGCCCAAGGCCTCATCCAACCTGGCCTTGAACACCTCCAGAGATGGGGCACCCATAGCTCTCTGTGCAGTCTATGCCAGTGATTCACCACTCTGAGTAAAGAATTTCTTCTAACATCTAACCTAAATTTCCCCTCTTTTAGTTAAAAGCCACTCGCCCTTTCCCTCTTGTGCTATCAACAGATAGGCTTCTACAGGATGCAACACAAGGAACCTCTCTGGAAACACATAGAAAACTCTGAAAGTGGAGTTTGTTCAGCCTTGCCACAATTGTGTGGGACAGGAAGGAGAGTTCAAATTGGTAATCTTCACCAAAAGATTTAAACCACCACTATGGTTTATGTACACCACAACAGAAACACAGATCCCAAATCCCCTCTCATTGTAATCAGAATGGAGCCATTTCATCATGACTGATTTCATTGTGTCATTTCCAATTTACACCATGCAAAGTGAGAGGTGACCCCCAGCCCCTGGGGGTTAGAAATGCTGCGGGAGACCGAGGAGCAAATCGGGGGGCTCTGCAAACACCACTCAGAGCTGTCTGCAGAAACGCTGCAACAACCTCAGACATACTGCATCCTTGTAGTGTTGCACAATAGCAGGACAAAGGCAGGGGTGTGAGAGGATCCGTGGAAATAAGAGCGCAGGAAATACCAGGCTGTCCAGCCAGTGCTCTGTGAGCCCATAACCTGCCTGCAACAATGACTGTAACTCAGGGGGAAAAAATAACAACTCTGCAAGAGGTAATTATCTAACAAGGTACAAGTAACAAGATTTTCATGCCACTTCCTGCCGGTCAGTGGTAGCCTTCAGCTGGCACCTCCACAGAGCAAAGCCCATCCCAGACTCGAGCATACCTTTACAATTCAGCATTTCCTCCTGATCCATCCGAATAACCCATCTCATTTTCTACCTCTCCGAGATCACGGTCTCATCAAATCATTGTGCTGAGAACTTTCATGGCTAACGGAACACTGGTCTGAAATAAAATAACAAAAAAGTGGTCATTCTACCAGTGGTGAGTTGTTGCTAACTCAATTTCAGTGGCTGCCAATCACTGTTTTCTAGAGAGGCCCACAAAAAGCCACTTGTTTTAATCCTGAGCAGACAGAAGGCATTCTGGTAGTGGGTTAAGGGTTTCTAGGAAATGGCAGCAGAGTTAGAAACCTTACAGCAAGAACATTTTCATGTGCCCCGTGGCTCAGGTTGATGGCATGCAGGAAAGCTCACAGAACTCTGGACGATGCTGTTTGTTTCATGGCTGTGAACACATTAAGCAATGGAATTTGCTTTTAGATCTAATGAGCTGGACTGATACAGGGATGTCAGCAAAGTCCAGCAACAAGCCACTTATTCTCTTGAGCCAGGGTAGGTGACACAACTGCTGCTTACACTGGCACCCAAGAACCCTACCCAACAGCTCACACTATTTCACACTGGGATGTTACGGAAATGCCCAGTGAAAATAACCATGGTTATATCGTAGGGGACAGCCAAGGTTCCTGAGAGATAGACTCTGCATTGCAAATGAGAATTTCCACCTCTGTGGAGGAACTTTCTTAGCATGTATGGGGTTGAGAAGAAATATTCCAGGACCATCCATAAAAACTGTAAACATACTTTAGTGATATTCTCTTTCCTCATCATGAAGCCAACAAAATTTTAATGTTCATGACACTTACTTTGTCACTGCTGGCTGGCAAATTCCAAAGATAAAACACAACAAGAATCCCAATATAAAAGCACCAGCATTAGCTTGTGACAAGCTACGAAACGCCAAAGGAAACAAACCTGGTTTAACGACAACGAAGTGGACAGAGAATGAGAAAACCCTGTGGAAACACCAAGTCTGCCATCTTTTGTATTGGTGGATAAAAGCTTGGCGGCTCCAGCAGGCTGTGGGATTTGCAGTGGGCAAAGGGAAGGACTTGTAGAACTCCTGAAAGATGCCATTTATTATTCAACTGGAAACACGGTTAATGCCAGTGGGACTTGGTCTTCCTCATAAACGAGAACAATTTTTACTTAAAGCACTCAAATGACCACTAGGGCTGCTCTAGCCTCTGTGACTGCAGAGTACAGTTTTAAGCAGTTTTATTAACTTTATTTTAAATCACTTCCAGCGCTGATCCCCCTAAAGATCAAAGCTGCTCCATCATTTATACCTGGCAGGCAGTAAAACCCTTACGTAAATCTGTAAGTTCCCTTGTTAAGTTTAACATTCATCACTTAACATCACTTAGCAGCCAACTAGGGGACAGTGTGCCTGCCAGGCCAACCAGCCCCATCTGCATCCCTGCAGTGAGGATCCAACGCTGCTGAAGTGGAGGCAAAGCTCCATTCAGTGTCTGCTCCTCCGAAAGGCACAGATGGGGGATGGCCCTCGGAGAGTGCATCTTTGCCCCCCATTTCATCTGCACCCCGGTGGTAACTGTCAGAATTCCTTAAGTTACTAGGAAACCTCAGAGAGCCACAGAAAACATTCTGTGCCTAATGAGGCCTTCTTGGACCACAGTGTCATCAGACACTACCACGACCCGCTAATGAGCTTCTCTCTGTGCAGTGCGGAGCCGCGCTGAACTGAACTCTCCCCATAGGACGACGCGCCATGAACTGGCAGATTAAACTTTCCACTGGACCAGGGACAGTTGCAAGGCACTGGGATGGCGTCCAACTTCAGCTAAGTGGAGTAGGGACTGAGAACATGAATTCATAACCAGCAGCCATCAATGAGGCGTAGGGAGCCATGTGCACAGCATGCACTTGGGTAAGGAGACTGGGGACTAGAGCAGAGTTGACTGTGCCTAATGTAGGGCAGGCAGGACACAAAAAGGCTGTATCCATCCAGTAGAAAGCAATACAAAGGCAAGACCACCATATCTTAAAAGAAAAAAAGACAGAACATGGATACATCCAACGAGTATTTGAAAGCAACTTCCTCTCCTTGCCTGTAGAGCCAAGGATGTTTGAAAGGAGATCCAGCAGCCCTAGGCAGGGACCATAGCTGCAAGAGGGGAAATGAGAGATGACAAGTCTGAAATGCAGAACACGATAGAGGAACCAATGAAAGACAAGGAAGAAGAGCCAAAGATGCTTAGATTTTGTAGCAGCAGGAACTAGTCAGGATGGCAAAAGAAACACTAGAAGACAGAGACAGATACGATCCAAAGGGAACTGCAGCTACGCAACAGAGCAGTTCCAGTATCCCCTTGACTAGAACAAGTACAAAGCGTCAGCTGCGTGATGTGCCAAAGCACCTCTTTGGGAAACACTTTTTCTTGAAGTTTTCTTCTCTTTTTATTCCCCCCTCTCCTCCTCCTTCCTCCCTCCAGCTTCCCCCTCCTCCCTTCAGGCAGAGATATGTTTCTCTCAGCTTCTGTGCCTGTGACTTTACTGCATGTGGGAAGTCAGTCCGGAAGGTCACCTCTTTCATCAAGTATTCTATTTGCATCCAAAATTGTATGTACATGAAAAATGTGGTCGTGTGTTGCACCTAGCTGCAGACGCAGATGAAATTCTGTGGAAAGCCTGATGCACACTAACCTTTGCAGATGGTGCAGCTATTGCTGAAAAATGGATTGCTTAATAAAGCATATCATCCGACATATTTGCTGCTTGGCTAGCCAAATAGAAGTTGTTTTTTGCACAAATTTCCTTGTCAAATTTGTCAATGTTCATGTCATTTTTGCTTTAGGTCACAGAGCAAGGTGCAAATTCTTGGCATCTTTACTAGTTGCAAGCCAATTTCGGCTATTTCTAACAATGAAGTGAATTTCTCTGAGGATAAGACACTCACTTTATGGGGAAGGAAGGAAAACAGCACAATGTGGACCATTTTTCTTTCTGGGATTTTCTTCATGCTTTCTCTCTTTTCTTTTTTTCTCCTTCTTCCTGATGGATAACATTTACAAACCTTATTTAATTCACAGCAGAAAGAAAGAGGCCTTTAAGCCTGTTAAAAGATTTATTTTGTTTGACTATTTGGTGCGAGATGCATGCAGAATTTTTGCATTGGTACACAGAAAATGTATCCCTTTGTGCCAGAAAATTTGCAGGAGAAGAAAAGAATGCCATTCCCTTGGCACTCTCAGGCGAGGAAGGCAGGGGTTCTCCCCTACCAAGTGACTGCTAGAAGTGCCTTCATTTTTATTAACCCCACAATCTTTTAGGCTCGAAGCCATACAATGCACCTGTTCTGTTTGGTTTTCTACCTGCTCTGTGTCCTTCTGCTCTGCCTTCACACTCATCACATCCCCTGTTCAGATGCACCTTTTCAAGCCTATTCCCTTCGTCCTGGCTTTCTAACCATTCTGCTACACGATCCCTTCCCAGACACAACCATAGCAAGCAGCTCTACTCAGAGGCAAAAGCAAGGAATGCCACTGCCATGTCTGCTACAATAAAACCCTCAGCTGTAGGAGGGCTTTAAAACTGCAGCATGCTCTTATACAAGCACAGCAGTGAAGAAATGGTGCCAGTATATGGCTGGCTCCCAGGCACTGGGGTGCTGCCCATCAGGAGGGCCGCAGAGAATGCTGAGCAGCTGACAAGCGCGTGGAAAGGGCTGGAGCCCCGTTCTGGTCCTTCCTCCACCCCACTGCAGCCTTCTTCCACCCAAGTCAAATCACAGAAGGAGAGCACTCCCGGAGCCTCCTCGTGCAGCAGGCACTTTGGGGTGCAGGGCTTCACAGCCTGCCACTGCAATGCAGCTTGTCCAGCCGCTCACAAGCAGGGCAGAAATTTAAGCGTCAGGCACGTTATTTATTTCGCGTTTCCCTTTTTGTTGGATACCTCAGTGGATAGAGTGTTTGTCATTTCCTAGGAACAGGTGCATTCCTCTCTGGCCTGTGTTATATTCTGGCAGCAATCACATTTCCTTCTATGGAGGTTTCATTTCTCCCTGACTTCCCACCTCAGACAAAGTCCTTTACCAAGAACAACCTTTCCCAAAGATGCACCGCTTGCCAAGTGCATCATCCATCCGATCTGCTCCTCTAACAGGAGACTTTTCTGCAAGATGTGGGCACTTGACATACTCCCCATTTGTCTTCCTTCAGAAAGTATCTCCTTCTGCAAGGAACATTTTGTTTACAGGGTTTATTTTGTTAGCAGGTGTATTCCCACTAGTAAGTTTTCCTCTGCACCATTTTTTTTAAAGGTCTTGTTTGGTAGCCAGATAGCCGAGACTGCCTGTGATAAAGCCAGCACAAGTGATTAATAGCAAAGTCTCTGCCATTTTATTATTAATAGCAGTGTGTTGACTCAATTAAATCCAGCCTGCTTTTTTTGGCAGGCCTTTGCAATTATACATATCATTATGGGCTGCAGCCCAAATGCATCCTGGGAGTAGACCAGAACTCCACATTAACTTTTTCTGGCTCTCTGTTTCCAGGTTGGCCACTGAAACATGTGGGCTATAACCAATCCAGGCTGCTTCAGGGATGGAAGGATAGAGAGAAAACGACAAATGGCAGAGGTGGGGATCACACCTAGGTAGGGCACACTCCCCCACAGCCATAAACAGCCTGGCAAACACATCCTAGATCCACCCCTCCATGCTGAACCCCATAAACACAATGTAATCAGTCTGGACAGTACCTGTTACCATCAGGGGTGATTTTCCAGCACGCTGAGGGGAGTGTCCAGTAAACCCTTCCAAAACAGACTTGCAAGCAGCTTGGCCTGGCTTGAAGAAGCACTGAGCTGACATTCAAGCATTTATCTTGCGATGAGTTCCAGGAACATGTGTTTCATGGTGGAAAGACTCAATAAAGCTCAAGTACCCCAACTCAAAGTACCCCAACACATCCTGTAAGCATATTTCACTGCTGGACCTCTCAAAACCTCCCAGCCAATCTGCTGGGAAAAACAAGGCAGTCGTGAGGCTAAGGCCTAAGACTAGGACAGTGCCAAGCTCAGTCCTCAGCACCGATATGGACTCCATGTATCTTTGCAGGTGAATCTTCTGTCCATACAAAG